GTTTGTTTCCCTGTCTTAGCTATTGTAAGTAGTGCTGCAGTAAACATGGGGTTGCATATATCTTTTCAAATTAGCTTTTTTGTTTTCTTCGAATAAATACCCAGAAGTAGAATTATTGGATTACATGGTAATTCTATTTTTAATTTTTTGAGGAACCTCTATACTGTTTTTCAAATAGGATTATTTTTTATAGACTTGGACATGTGAACAGGCCGTTTAGTTATTATCACCTTTGTGCTCCAATGTAAACTACACATGGTATTGATAAAAGGATCAAGTGCTTAATTATTTTCCAAAATAACTAGGTATGAATTTTTCATGATAATTAACATCATCATTATCACCATAGCTAATGTTTACAGAGCATTTACCTTGAACCAAGGACTTTGCTGCATTATCACATTTAATTTTTATAATAACTATGGAGGCCAGTATTATTATTATTATTATCCGTATTTGACAAATTAGAAAACTGAGATATAGAAAGTTCAAGCTCATAAAGGGCAAAATCTGAACTTAAAAGTCATGTTTATCTGGTTCCAGAGGCCATGCTAGTGACACTATATAACACAACTCCTCAAATTAAAATCAAGGCATTTCGTCCATGGTAATAAGACCTGTTGATGGGCTGTATAATGAAGGCATCTGACTGCTAAAAGGAATTTCAGAGGCAGTTTGGTCCAACAACTTCTATTTTGGGGAATGCATATCCTGGGTGATAACCAACAACTTCTCAAAGAGTACACAGACATGGTTTTAGGAGAATCAGTTTCCAGATGATCAGTTTTTGTATTTTTCTGTTCTAAAATCATTTTGTCTTCAAGATGTCACCTTATCCATTATTCTGTCTTCCATTTAACAAACGATTTTTTTTTTTAGTTTAGTTTTTTTTTTTTTGAAATATTACAGATGTCCCTTTTTCTCCCCAGTGATCCATTCCACCCTGTCCCATCGCCCTCCCCAGTCCCTCTCCCCACCATTGTCCATGTCCTTGAATTGTGTATATATGCATATAAATTATTTGGTTAATCTCTCCCTCTCCACCATCCCTCTGACATTCGTCAGTGTGATCTATGCTTTCATGAAGAAGGACATACTTTAATCCATTTAAGTCTTACTAAATGCATTGGCTCAGGATATAAGAACTTCAAAGGAGCCAAATGAAGGGACAATTAGAAATATTAAGAAAATGAATTACTTTAATGAACATAATTCAAATATTTTTAGATTGAGGGGTTTCTAATTTTTTGCTCTCAAAAATATTGAAGGAGACCTAATCTAGTTGTCGGCACATCATTAAAAATAATTTTTTATAATATGCAACACTAGTTACTGTCATATTACTTGGACAACTTTTGGTGCCCTGGAATCTCAAAGAACAAGTCTATTATTTTTCAACATTAAATTTAAACATCAGTCAACAGAGGCAGCATTGTGTAGTATGCTAGAACCATGGCACTTTCATTTAACAGCCATATGACTTTGAAGAAGTCACCTACCCTCTATGAGCCTAGGTTTTCTCATCTGTAAAATAGGGGGATTTTAATAGCACATTACTCATAAAGTTGTTATGAGGATTAAATGAGAGTACCTTGTCCTTGGCAAGTGTTCAGTAAATGCCAGCAACTATGCCTATCAAAATTTCAGTCTTGTCTACACAGTCTCCAGGTTTTTCTGGGAGGACAGTGGTTTGCCATCCAGTTCTCTGTACAGTGAAACTGCTCTGCTTTGTCACTGTCTTTAAAATGTGGTTCTCAGAACTAAGCAAAATTCGATGAGTCTGCTCTTTCATCATAGGGTAAGCATGGATCATCCAACCCTGATTATTCATAATACCTCCCCAACTGATTGATGCTCTCTGGAATCCCATCAGACTTTTCTCTCTGAATCAGGATAACTTCCCTGAATGGAACACCCTTGACTATCTAAATTATTCATTCTTTTTTTGTGGTTAAATTTTAATAAGGGGAGGGGAGAGAGTCCATGAACACACAGCATATCTGAGGATGGCGTAGGGAAGAGGCACTGTGAAGGGAAAGAAGAGAAAAAAGATGACTTATGGAGTCAGACACAAACTTCACAATATGCACAATGTTGTGCAAAGGACAGAATTTGAGAAAGATAGTTTTCCTCTAGAAGTTCCTGGGAGCCTGTGTAGGAATTGTCTGAGCTGCTGAGAAGCCACTGTGTGGGTGTGCAGCCCTGAGTGCAGGCACTCACCTTACTGTGGACCCCCAACTAGACTGGATGGGCTGGGCTTGGCACCTCCATCCTTCCTCAGGCAGCACATACCATCATTTCTTATTTCCACAATAGCACAGAGCAGTTTACTCGGAGAAGACAGAGGATGTTGCCCAGCACAGAAGAAAGAAAGGCATCAGGAGGGGGTCGAAGGGCAGAACAGCTAGATTCCTAGGGGTACTTCTGCTCGTCAAGGGCAGCAAAGCCTGTCCGGGAAAGGCGCTGAGAGATTGTAGCATGTGTTCCTGCCTGAATCCCATGGTTCCCCCAGCACAGTCTCCCAAGTGTGTCATTGGCCGAACTTGCTGCCTTCTCTGGGGAGTAGGGCCCATGAGGCAGTGCCTCCACTATTAGTATTAGTGACTGTGGCTTGGCAGCTCAGCCGGTCCCAGGAGAGTAGCCAGAACCTGGGAGACCAGCCTGGACACGGGGTTCTCTGATGTGTGCTCCAAAAATTGGCACTGAGAAGAAAGCCCAGGAAAACTTAGATATGGTCATAGCATGCATAGGTGTCTCTCTTTGCCTGAGTCCTGGAAGATGTAGCCTTCTTTTCAGGGATACACTCTTATTTTTCAAAATATTTAGCTGGGAAACATGTATTGAAAACAGAGAGTCTGTTTCTCACCTTTCACATTTCACTACAGGGGTGATCTCTGTTACTGCTTTGACATGTACCCATTCACACACTTTCCTGTGCACATATGTATATGTACAATTTTATTTCCACAGAAATGATTTTGTTTGTTCTGGAGCTTTCTTTATTTACCTCATCAATAAGTCATAGTCCTCCTATGTCACCATCAGGCCTAACTCAGTATTTTAAAAGTATTTTGTAGATATTAGATGTGCCAGAAGTTATAAACATCTTCATACTCATGCCACTTACTTATCTCCTTTGAGGGGGGACTATTACAGAAGCAATACTACATGGATATAATTTTACAGGCTCTTCGTGTACATATATTTTTCTAGAAATGGAAATGCTAGATGAGAGTAGATGTGTATTTTTAATTTCATCGGTGCCACCGGATTGTCCTCAAAAAAGTTAAAACCAGTGTATACAGTCTTTAAGGGCATATGAGAGTACCCTTTCCACATGACCTGACAGCACTGTCTGCAAACTCTTTACTGTTTCCCAACCTAATGATGAAAAAAGAAATCATATTTTATGAGAGTTTTACTTTTTATTTTCCTGATTACTGGGGGCAATTTTTTTACCATTTTAGTTTTTCTTCTCTGAATTTTCCAACTACATCTTTGCTCACTTTTTCTATGTGGTTGCTGTGTTGTTTTTTAATTGATTTATAGGGGTTATAATATGGTAAAGAGATATTCTCTTATGCTTTCCTCTTGATCTGACTCATAACTTTCTAACTGTTCTCAGTTTCCAGCTTGGATGGACATTTTTGTCTTTTACTTACGCTCTATTCATTCTGAGAACACAAATCATTAGTTTCCCTAGAAAGTAAAGTGTGATATTTCTTATCAGCTCTCATATCAGTCAAAAATTGGCAACACATATGGACACAGACATCATTGAATGCACACGATTGGCAATAATAATAGCTCATATAAGTTGAGTGTTTACTATGTGCCAGGCATTCTGTTTAAAGTGCTCAAATGCTTTTTAAAAAAATTATCTTTATTGTTGAAAGTATTACAGATGTTCCCATTTCCCCCCCAGTGACCCTTTCCACCGGCTCCTTCCCCCATGTTCACAGCAGCATTATTCATGAGAGTCAAGATATGGAAACAACCTAAGTGTTGTTTATGGAGCACTATCTGTGATCCATGTTAGTTCACATATTTATTACTCAGAGGAATTGGATAATGTAGTTGTTCTTCCGGTTTACAGGAAAAGGAACCAGAAATGAGACAAAAAATGTTCCTCAAGTTACATAGTGTGGAAGTAGTGGACTTTTGGTTCTGACTTCTAACTTCTGACTTCAAGTCTTGAGTTCTTGTCACTAAAACAATATAATTAGAACTAGAGTATATGTATGGAGGGGCTTAGACTAATATAATCCAATTTCTTTAGTTTATAAGTGGGGAAACCAAGGTTCAGAGACATTAAGTGACTATGTAGTGGTCACACAGTTCATTTTTTAATGGCAAAGCCAGCGCTGGAACCCAGGACTTAAGTTAAAGCTTCATTCTAATTCTTCTATAGAACATTGCCTGTTTAATGTAAAGGATCAGATTATTTCCTTCATAGTTTATTCTACCAGGCATAATGAATCTTATATTCTTGGGCTTGAGATATACAGGGTGTCCCCCCAAAAATGTATACACACTTAACAGCTGATAGCTCAATTGGTGTTTCTTTCTTTTCAGGTTTAACCCATTGGACTTAATAATTATTCAGAGTGTGTATACATTTTTGGGGGACACCCTGTATATCTTTCATAGCTCCTTCATAACTTGAGCTAAACAACAATTTGGACTTTTATTTTCATTTTATATGTATAAAAGCCCCTACCTGTGGATTTCTCCTAGTCATCCAGTAAAAATAAACAAGAACCATTATGGGAGTGGGTAGTAAACTACTCAAAGCATGGATACTCCACAAAGATGATTGGAGGTTGCTGGTAACACTGGTCCCCTCCCTGTCCTCAGATGCCAATCTGCGCTGTGAAATACAGACATGAGAAAAGGAGAAGTCTCAGGCTCAGAGCAGCTACAGTGGGGCTCTCAGGAGGCCAAGCTTTGACTCTCAGCTCTGAGTCTTGGAGTTAGGACCCTAAGGTCTTGAAAGAGTATTAGAGTGTTTTTCTTCTGAGTAGTTTTCCCAGTGCCTCCTTCATATCCCTGTTTCTCAGGCTATAGATGAAAGGGTTCAGCATGGGGGTGACCACTGTGTACATGACTGAGAAGACTCTGTCCTTTCCACCTGAAGGGGATGATGGAGGATATAAATAGACCCCAGTAGCTGTGCTGTAAAACAAAGAGACTACAGCGAGGTGGGAGGTGCAGTTGGAGAAGGCCTTTTGCTTACCCTTTGGGGAATCAATTCTTAGAATAGCCAATGCAATGGAAAAGTAAGAGGTCAGGATGCAGACAAAGGGTCCAAGTAATAGTGTTCCTGCCACAAGGGTGAGCATCAGGTTATTGACATAAGTACTGGAGCAGGCCAGCTTCAGGAGGGGCACCAGATCACAGAAGAAATGGGGGATGATATTGGGGCCACAGAAAGCAAGCCTGGTCACTAGGAGGGTATGCACTAGAGCATGGAAGGTAGTGACCACCCATGACCCAGCCACCAACAGGACAGAGCGTTGGGAGTTCATGGTCATGGTATAATGGAGGGGGTGGCTAATGGCCACATAGCGGTCAAATGCCATCACAGCCAGAAGAAAGTTGTCCAGATCTGCAAATAGGCCAAAGAAATAGAGTTGTGTAAGACACTCACCATAAGAAATCAGTTTACTACCTGAGCTAATGTTATCTAGCATCTTGGGAATTATCGTAGAGGTGAAACCAATGTCAGAGAAGGACAAGTTGGCCAGGAAGATGTACATGGGGGTGTGGAGGTGGACGTCAGAGCCGATGGCCAGGATGATAAGTAGGTTTCCCAGCACAGTGACCAGGTACATGACCAGGAAGAGCCCAAACAGGAGAGGCTGCTGCTCTGGCTGCTCAGAGAGGCCCATGAGAAGGAACTTAGAGATGCTGGTCTGGTTTCTTCTGTCCATGTCTGGAGTTCTGTATGAAATAAATTTTATTAAATATAAGTAGCAAAAAAGTAAAACATTTCTTGTTAGAATTTTTTTAACCCCTAAAAAAATTCTGTGGTTTAGACAGTTCTGTTTGGTAAAGCTTAAATTTATAACTGCACACATTAGGAAGGACAGTTCAGATCAGACGATTTGTAAAGTTATAGCTTGGTGTCAGCACTTGACCAGATAGCGAAGGCTTCTTCTAACAATTTCAGCTGTCCCCATGACACATGGCAGGGACCATGGAAAGTGTTCTGGATCGCACCCATCCTATCAGTATACACCGAATAATTCTAACTTCACTGAATAATTATGTCATTAAGTAAATAACATTTTACTTAAAATAATTAATATTATATATAACAAGTAATTAAAATAATTAATATTACATATAACATGATGATACATAATTATAAATAAAAATTATGTAATTAATTTAAAAATAATTTTTAACAAGGTAAAATTACAGAAAAGCATGTATATTTATAATTTCATTTTTGTAAAATTAAAACATGAATGTTGGTATATGAGCAAGGACACTGAAAGAACACAGTCTAAAGGTCAATAGTGTTTACTTCTGATAGTTTTGCCAGAATATATTATCTTTGTAATTAAAAGATTCTTTTAAAAGTATGAATGGATGTGATTCATTGAATTAATCCAAGTGATCATCCAGAAGGCAGTCTGGAGATTGGGGGAGTCCTGATAAGTTGACCAGGGTGTGCTCTCTGCAAGGAGGCAGCGCTGACAAGTGAGTAGGAGAACAAAATTCAAATGCCCCTCACCCAGTGTGAAGAAAAGAAAAAGTGATGGAGCAGGAAGTTTTCATCACAGCCCAGTCCATTCAGGCCCTTTGAAATCTTCCCAGCTTTCACAAAGAAAGGGCTGTAGGAAGTACATAAAATACTGCCCCCACTCCCTCCAATAAGGCTGGGAATTATTTGTGCCTTTTCTCTGACAACACTGATGTCTCACTCACCCAGTTTCTCCACCCAGTTTGAACCTCTTCATCTGGATTTAAAATCTAAGCTTAGGCACTCTATTCTAGCTTCTTACTCCTTTGCTCTCACAGGGCTTTCTTATATTTGCAGATTAGATTGATCTATTGCAGACCTAAATAGAAGGTGTCAAATCCTTATTTCACTCCCCAAACTACCCCTTTGTTTCTAGCCCTGGTCAGAGAAGATGATGTTTTGATTTGAGACTCATATATCTTTATTTTCCATAGAAGCTACAGTGCGGATATATCAGGAATCCCATAACTAAAAATTACTGGACATTAGGTTTATCCGGTCCATATCCATTGCTCCAAGTCAATGAAAAAGTCAGAGTAATAATGCTGGCTGAGCACTAGCCATGAACTGTCCACTAGTCTCTCTTAAGTGATAACTCTTTGTAGAGGTGCTGTGATTATCTTTACATATGTAGAAACTGAGGTTCAGAGGGGTTAAGAAACTTGCTGAAGGCCACATATTTAGGAATTGGAATCAAATTGTCTGAGTCAAAAGCCTGTTCTTTGTTCTGCTCTGCCGCCCTTCAGTGCTCACCAAACCACATTGTGACTGGTTCAGCGCCTGTGTAGGTTCAATAAGGAGAAGATGCACCACCAGCAACTTCGTTCATTCAAAATAGAATTCCGCCCAGTTGGCTTGGCTCAGTGGTTGAGCATTGACCTAGGATCCAGGTGATCGCAGTTCAATTCCTGGTCAGGGCACATGCCCGGGTTATGGGTTCGATCCCCAGTCAGGGGTGTGCCAGGGGGCAGCCTGTCAATGACTGTCATCATTGATGTTTCTCTCTCTCTCTCTCTCCCTCTCCCTTCCTCTCTCTGAAATGAATAAAGATATATATATTTTTTAAATGGAATTCCCACTGTATCCAGACATTAAAACTACTGAGAATATTTAGGTCACCTAGACTGAGGAAGAAAGATTTAGTTTGCAGTAAGAAAATTTTGATTCACCCTCTATAGCAAACTTAATAATATGCTGTGAATAATTCATTTAGCTTCTCTGAACTGTAGTTTCCCTCTCTGTGAAGAGGGGTAACCGAGTCTGTTTTGTAGGCCGTTGTGAGGTTCTTTATTGCCTCACATCAGGAAAATGTCGATGCTATTTCTTATCATGACATAATCAGTCTTTTATGATTCTGTCTCCATCTGTCTGTCTAATGACACTTGCCCCTCATGCCATGCCACTCTGCATTCTTGCCCAAGAATCACTCACAGTTCTCAAACAGCTCATCACGACCTGCCTGCATGCCTTTGCTTCTTAGCTATTCCACCTTCCTGTCTCCTCTTCTCCACCTGGCGAGAGCTCCGGTGTCAACACCTGGGGAGGTTGGAGTTCTTTACTTTATCCTCTGTGTTCCCACAATCCTGTATATGGGTCTCTGGTAGGACAGTTGACATATTGCCGTATAATTACTTACTTATCTCCATTAGATTGTGTGTTCCTCAGTGCCAGGGACTCATTTTCATTGACCTTGTTTCTTCTTGTATGTACTTGATAATCATCTATTGAATAAATCAGTGGATGGATGGGCAGTAAAGTGACATTTTTTTTTAGCTATGATGAAACTGTATGGTGGCAGTGTTTAGCGACCAGCATTGCCTTTTACTTATAGAAATAGTTAATAAAATAGATGACTCTTACATGAAGACCTTAGATTGCCTAGCCTACATTCTAGTACATAGAAAGTGCTCAAAATTGTTTGTGAAAATGGAAAAAATGTATTGTGGATGTTGAATTATTTTAATCAATTGAGTGTTTTCACAAGTACTGAATTTATGGTTTGTTTATATCTTACATTTGAACTAAATATTGTTTTTGTTTTAATTTAAAAGAATGCAGGGAAAGTTAATGCTTGGGATTCAGATTTAGTATGAACATATCTTCATGTGCCCCTTCCCGGTGCTGAGATGTGTTGCCCCAGTTCTCTTGCTTTTACGTATTTGAAAACAGCCAACATGACCTGATGTGCTCTGTCCACACATCAAGCCCCTCTCAGGAGTATATGGAGATTTTAGGAAACTGTGGTTTCAGGGACCATAGGATTAAATTAATAATCTGGGGGAATAGTCCTCTGGATTAAAGCTATCTAGCCACCCCACCCTTTAGGAACTAAAGGACATTAAGTCATCTAATATACCTGTCTTATTTTATGAACAAGTAAACAGATCTCAAAGAGCTGCTGTAATCTATCCAAGTTCAGCACTACAACTGATACCAAAAACAGGATCCCTGAAACGATTTTCAGTGGACCATTCTGCTTCTCTTAACTAACTGGAAAAGGGGACATATGGCCGATGACTTACTGTTAGTCCTGAGCTGGCCGAGAAGAGCTGCTTATTTCTTCATGTTAAGGTAGACATTTGACTATCCTGTTCTCAGTTCTCACTTGTCAAGACCGAAGAAGCCATATTTGATGACCAAATGGAAAGACAGCATCTTCCCCTATGTTTAAGGTAGAAGGGATGCCTGGGACATGGAACCCTCATCTGCTCTAAGGAGGAAGAAATGAGAGCAGGGCATTCTAGATCCTGAGCCAGCCAGCCTGACTAGTATCCCAGGAAAAACGAACTTATCTACATGCAGTTTCTAGCACAACCCCAGTGCTCTCTGAGGGAAGTTGCAGAGACATCTGGGAATACCAGTCTCTAAAGTATCTGTTGTGGGAAGAGCTTTGTTCATGCCTGGTCCCTATCCTCAAACTCTAAATGAACTCCTCTGTGACTTTATGAAGTTTACCTATCCTCTCTGGACTTTGGTTTTCTCAGGTAAATAAATCAGAAAACAAAATGTTCTCTCACAATAGAAATCTTAGAGTTAACATTTTTGTCATTCTAGAGCATATGAAGTATTATCTTATTGTTGTTTTAATGAACACTTCTCCAATTTGTAATGTTGTTGAACACATTTTGGGTGCCAATTGGTCATTCTTACACCTTCTTTATAGAAAGGGTCTGTCCATTTTTATTGGGTTGGTTGTTTTTTGGTAATGATTTGTAGGAAGTTTAATTCTTATGTAATGGGTATACTCATTTTTTTTTTAGTTTAAACCTTTAAAAAAACTCTAAATTTTATCAAGATATTCAACCATTTTTAATTTGCATATATCTTACATTATTCCCTAAAAATGTTTATCTTTTAAGTGTTTCTTCCATACGTCTCTTTGTGGAGCAAACCTTCTGCATCTTTCTATATCTAAGAATATTTGTAATATGTCTCTACATTGGAATGGCAACATGCTGGATATAAAGTTTGGGGTTCAAAACTGTATTCTTCTTATGCGTTAAAGATATTTTAGTGTCTTCTTACATTCAGTGTAGCTATTAAGAAGTCTGATATGAATTTGACTACTGTTCTTTTGCAGGCAAACTTCCCTTTCTCTCAGGTATTTGAGAGGCAAGGAATTCCCATAGTTCTTTACCCCAAAGAGGGCAGCCCTGAATGAGAAATTGTTGTTGCCATTGGCAGGACCGAATCACAGTGGCCAATTGCTGAAGATGTGTAATTGGGGCCAGTTGTCTCCCAGGACATCTTCCAGTGACTGCCTAGGGTTTGGGCAGTCGTGCTTCCTTGTATTCCATCCTTGACCAGGGCTATCTAGTAGAAGGATTATAATGTAGCAGCCCTCCAGTGAGCTTGACTAAGTAAAGGGAGCAGGGAAGACTTAGAATTTGCTGATGCTCCATGAGGAACAGCTGTCAGGTGCAGTGTCAGTGGTAGTCTGCTCAGGGCTGGCTAGCACTTCCTGTTCATTGGGGTGCACAGCAAAGTAATATGCCCATTGAATCACACCATTTTTCCTCAATAATTGATGTCCCTCTTCTAAAGTTTTCCTTTTGGGGAGGCATGTGCATTAATGACTGCAGCAGGAACATGGGCTATTTTTCATGCCACGAACACCCAGTGAGCAGAGGAAAGATTGGAAATCAGCCTGGGAATGTTGGGGTGGGTGGGCATTGCACGCCT